TTTATACACATATTTTAAATAATTTATATATATATTCTGATGGTTCTTATTTAAGTGATTGAATATGTGAGCATTTAAATTAAACAAATTATGAGAGAGACAAGCAGGAGACAGAGAAATCTTCAAATTTCTAGGAAATCAGAGAACATGTGTTTAGAGAAAAGAGGGCAATGGTTTAACATGTTTTGTGCCTTAGCCACCAATTTTGCAACCTCCCACCCCCACTCCCAAAAAAGAAAATATTTACTAAATATGAAGTATGAGTTGGTCGCCCAAGTTAAGATCAAAATATCACCCAACTATCACTATTTTCCTTCAAATATATTTGACAATTTAAAAGCATCACTTCTCCTAGTTGAAATGACATGTCATTAAAGTCTTTTTTTAATAATAGACTAATTTAATTTATTAAACTCATTTATCTAATTATTAATTATATTGTTTTTAATTTTTCTAATTAATTTATTAAGAATAAATTTTCATACTTAAAATCTTTTATCATAATTAAACTTTTTATTTTTTTATGTTATGCAGAATACGTTTTAAAACGTACTATAATCTCATCAATTTTAAATACTTATAAACACATAATTCAAATAATATTGATATACAAATCACTAATGAATGCTAATTTTCTTCAATTAATCATAAATTGTATAATTAATCAATAATATTAAAGGTCAACTAATTATTAAAAAATAATTATTTGGATGCTTCGAAGTCCATAAATACTTACAATATCTTTTTTAAAAGAAAATAATAAGTGAATAATATTTATAGAAAATAAAATCTTTATTTATCAATATTTTAATATCATATAATATGTATACTATGAATTAAATAAGTAAATTGAATTAATTATTAATTTATTTATTGATATTTAATTGTATGAAAAATTATAATATCATATAATATAGAATAAAAAATAAAATTAAAAAAATTTAAATAACAATTTTCTCTTTCTTACCAATTTTTTTTGTAAACCTTACAAATTTATCTAAAAAATTTTATCAAAAAAATTGTTTAAAATTTTCAAATAATTTAGTATTTTTAAAATTATCAGGTAATAAGTGCACATAGAGATTTTTTTCATTGAATTTTGTTTGGTGACAACATATAAAGTTACTAAAATTTTAAATTTTTTTCCTTATAATTTTAATAAATTCTCATGTAATTTATATATTTATTTAGAGACATAAGTTTGATGAATTAGATAGGTCTAGTATTTTTTTTTAAAATGATTATAAATGACAGGGCATATCAACTAGAATTTAAGGAGACTTTTGAGGTATTTAGTAATTCTAATAGATAAAAAAAATATAATATTATTCACTTTATTCTTCTTCTTTTTTCAAAAAATAATAATATCGAAAGCATGAATTGCAAAATATACAATTAATATTATTGTATTGACCTTTAATATTATTGATTTATTATACGACTTATGATTAATTGATGTAAATTAGCGTTAGTGAGTGATTTGTAGATCAATATTTTTTTGAATGTATGTGTTTATAAGTATTTAAAATTGATAAAATTATAGTACATTTTAAAAATGTATTCTTCATAACATAAAAAAATAAAAAAATTAATTATGATAAAAGATTTTAAGTATGAAAATTTATTTTTAATAGAATAAAAACAAATTAAAAATAATATGATCATTATTTTAGTTAAATATGTTCATTGAATTAAATTAGTCTATTATTAAAAAAAAGACTTTAATGACATGTCATGCCAACTAGGAGAGAGTGATGATTTTTAAGTGTCAAGTATATTTGGAGGAAAATAGTGATAGTTGAGTGATATTTTGATCCTAGATGAAACATAAATGATATTTCAAGGGAAATCTCTTAACTTGGGTGACCATTTAGGGAATTGACTCTATGAAGTATGGTTAGTTTTGTATCAGGAAAAAAAAATATTATTTGTAATAAAAAACATACTTCCTTTGTTTAAAAAAACGATCTAATTTAACTTGAAACTACGTTTAAGAAAAGAAAGAAAATCTTTTGATTAAAGTTATGCCAAATGTATTAAATGTCATTTAATTTTGTGCCTTAAATATATCACATGAAAAGTTAAAACTAAAGTGTTATCAAAAAAGAAAAATGATTATTCTTTTTAAACAAACTAAAAAAAATTGGATCATTCTGTATTAAAATAGAGAAAGTAACACTCTTCTAATAAATTAATATTATTTTATTTTCTTGAAAATTTTTTCTCAAATAGAAAAAATCAAAGAATTTTTTGTCTTATTACATTATGTCTACCTACCTTCACATTAATTTATTGAGAAAATGCAGAAGTATCCTATCAACCTATACTCGAAATTTCAGAGACACACTTATATTATACTAATGTTCTATTATCTTCCCGAACTTATTTTATAAGTAATTTTTCTACTCCTTTTCGGCTTATGTGGCACTAGCTTGAAAAAAAAGTCAACCAGCGTTGGACCCACAAGATAGTGTCACATAGGCCAAAAAGAGGTAGAAAATTATTGATAAAATAAGATAGGGGAGTTATAGGACCATAGTACAGTATAAGTGTGTCTCTGAGATTTCGGGCATAGGTTGAGGGGGTACCTGTGCATTATCCCTAATTTATTCTTTTTAACTTTTGTGCATATTCTTTTTTCAAGTATTTGCTAAGTTAGAGTAACATTATGTTAAATATAAGAATTAATAGTCTAAAAGTGTTGAATAATGTGAATTATAATTTTGTTTTTGAGTTTTCAAGCATTGCAATCAAGGATGACTCAACGTAATTGAAGACTTAAAGTGAAATTTTAATTAGAAGCTTAAAATTTAAATAAACTTTATATATATTAATTTAAAGTTTATTTTTCTTACATTTTTTAGATGCAAGTTATCAATTTTTTTTTTAATAAATAATTTCTTCAAATTTTTTGCTTCAGTTGTTAGTTTTAGGGATAATGCACAAGTACCCCCTCAACCTATGCCCGAAATTCCAGAGACACACTTACACTATACTAAGGTCCTATTACCCCCCTGAACTTATTTTATAAGTAAT